TCCAGATTGTGTTACTGTAGCCGTTTGCCAAATATAATATTTATTAAAAAGCTCTCTGGTATTTATAGTAAATGATTTTATAGGGAGAAGCAAAGTTAATATTCGTTTTTCACACCTTTAAAAAACCTCTGCACAAAGTTTTTTCCTAGGCTGATATCTTCGAAATTTTAGTGGAATTTGGCCTGTATAACCTCGCAATTTTGACATTTTGGAGTTGGAGGTCACAATTTTTTTGTAGGCCACCTTTTTTTTTCGTCTTTATGATCATATTATCTTAGGATTCAAGTTGAAAGGAAATGGGTATTCATGTGTTTGTTGTACCTAATTAAATAGACATTTGGCAATCTTCAGATTGAAAACCCCAATTTCGATAATTTTCATAAATAAAATATTTGTAGGTTGTGATTAGACGATGTTATTTACGATGTTAATAATTTCATAAAAAGAAGTCTGTACCGTGGACATATAGAAATCAGATTTTAAAAGTTGAAGTGACAAAATTGTTTATTATATTAAATTTATTTAATGTATTGCAAAGAAAAGGCAAATATTGAATATGTATGTCATTGGTTATACTATATAAATTAAGAATCGGTTGATTTAGCAAGCAGTAATATTTATTTTATAATTTGAATAGTACCTTATTTCTGAATTGCAGAATAAAAGTTTCCATTACTTTCTTAAATAGTTTAACAATCTTTATTGCTTAGTAGATGTCAATAATATGACTGTCATAAGTCAAATATATGAAATTAACTCGAAGTAGTGTAACCATCGATGTCATATCTATGGATAAAATGATACAAGAATATTAATACTGGCAAGTTAGTAAAAGTAGGTATAATAATTTTAAAAGGTTTTAAATTTTAATAATACATTTTACAGTTTCTTAACTTAGCGCTGAATTCATCGTTCTAAACTGGGCGAATATATGTCACCGATGAGTTCAGCGCTGAGTTTACGAACTTGGCATATTTATTGTTAAATATTGTTATTATTCGAAATATTGTTATTTCGAAATTATAATACTATTACTATCTTACAAGTATTAATATTCTTGTACCATTTTATTCAAAATATTTTTAAAAAGTTATTATAATATTATTTGTTATTGAGGGGTGGTAACACTGGCACATTGCATCGTCACTTCAGTTCAGTCCCAGCTGTGTACCGGTGAGCTTCGTTACAATCATAGTAATTTAGATATAACTGCAATATATATACCTCTATTGCTGTTAATAAGAACTTTACAAATTTACAAATCTTTAAAAAAGTAACGAGAAAGCTTCTCAGTTATTTCAAAATAAGGTACTAACGAATAAATGTTTGTTTTTAAATTAACAATACCTCAATGAATAAAATTATAAAACTAATAAAATTTACATAAATAATTATCAATCTTTCCATGACTTGTTAGTAGAGAGAATAAATTTAAATTAAAATATTCTCTTAGAAACCATTGTTTAAACAATGGACTGTACAGGTCTGTGCCAGTTCGAAAATTGTACTTCGCCCTCACGAAGCTGTGAACCAATGCATTTCGCTGCAATGAAATTTATTCATTATTGTTTATTTTTTATTTAATTCTTTATTCATTTTGAAAAATATTAATTGCAACTCCTAAACAATATTAATTGCAATTACTACGTTTTAGGTATCTGAGAAAGAAACATAAATGTTTCTATGCGTTATAGGAATAAGGTATTGATAAAAATTCCAAATAAATTATTATTTATTATTGAAAGTTCGATTAAACAATTATTATTGAACTTATATATCTGTATAATTTCAAGCATGTACATAAATTCAACAATTTAACTAAACATAACATAACCTTTAAATAAAGGTTACGACAATTTAACAATTGTCTATGACGTGAAAGAAAATAATTAAAATTCTTTATTTTTCTATACTGTACTACTTAGAACACAAAAGTACCATACTTCATTTACTTCTATTAGTATTTATTGAAGTGCCAGGTTTGTACCTATCCACATCTTTCTATTTATTTAATTATTTCTATAAATCTGAAGTAAAACTGCATCTACAAATAAATCATCATTTTAAAACTATTTGAGAAAGGAATTGAAATGTCTTTCTGATGTTTAAAAATAAGATTAATTTTTAAATTTTGAATAAGTGTTGCTGCCTATTAAATTACTAAATTATTGATATATGTATGAAGAATGTTGAAAGTAAATGATAAACGATTGAGTAATTATTTAGTTAAAGATGTATAGGTCACGCGTTGTTCACAATCACTTCGATCACACTTGGAGTGCCGAATGCATCCGGTTTTAACTGAAAGACTGTTTTCGGCATTTCATGAACAAGTGTGACCGATGTGATTTTGAACCACGCGTAGCTTGTGCGGTCTTTATCTAAATAATTACCAACGATTGTCCTGTTGTATTAGAAAATAAATAAATTTATTTTAATTTAACTCCAGTAATTTGAACTTTGGACACCACGTGGTTGTGCCAATTGGAACAAGGTACTTCAAGGTGTAGTTCTAGCTCCGTAAAGATGAAGTTTTAAATTATCATAACTGTTTTTCGATGTATCAGAAGTTAAACTGCGCCAATTAATCGATACTATAAAATATTTAAGAAAGCACCTGACAATTTACGCTGAAGTTAAACATAAGGTACTGTTTAAACAAACAAACAAAAAAAAAAACTTTCTGCTTATTAAATTCTTTATTATTAATTTATGCACTACAAGTATGGATATGAGTATTTAATAATTGTTCTATTGTATTTAAAAATAAATAAATTTCAAAATTTTAATATAACCCATTACTTTGAACATTGGACCCTAGACCCTGTACTTCGCCCTCAGTCAAGTCTTTGTTCTGTACGACGCACTTCGCAATAACTGTTGTAACTCTTTGATATACCAGAAGTTAAACTGTATCTACTAAGCAATAGTGATTTTTAAACTGTTAAAGAAAGTATGGGAAATTTTACGCTGCAATTCAGAAATAAGGTACTGTTCAAATTATAACATAAATATTACTGCTTGCTAAATTAACCGATTCTTAATTTATATAGTATAAGCAATGACATACATATTTAATAGTTGTCCAAATATGTTATAAAATAACTAAATTTCTTTATTTTCTATATGCGCACTACTTTAAGCAATGTACTCAACACTTGTACTTCTCCCTCAGTCTAGTCGCAGTTCTCATATAATTTTAATAGCTTTTGGTAAATCAAAAGTTCAACTTTATCTACAAATGAATAGTGGCTTTTAAACTATTTAAAAAAGTAATGAAAATTTACGCTGCAATTTTGGAAAAAGGTTCTGCACAAATTATAAAATAAATATAACTGTTTGTTAAATTAACCAAATCTTCATTTATTAGTTACAGTCATGAGCATACATATTCAATAATAGTCAAATTATATAAGGAAATAAAGAAATTTTTAAATTTTAATATAACCCACTACTTTGAACATTGGACCCTAGACCCTGTACTTCGACCTCAGTCAAGTCTTTGTTCTGTACGACGCACTTCGTATAATTGTTATAGCTCTTTGATATGCCAGAACTTAAACTGCATCTACTAAGCAATAGTGATTTTTAAACTGTTTAAGAAAGTATTGGAAATTTTACGCTGCAATTTAGAAATAAGGTACTGTTCAAATTATAAAATAAATATTACTGCTAGCTAAATTAACCGATTCTTAATTTATATAGTATAAGCAATGACATACATATTCAATAGTTGTCCAAATATGTTAAAAAATAACTAAATTTCTTTATTTTCTATATGCGCACTACTTTAAACCATGTACTCAACACTTGTACTTCTCCCTCAGTCTAGTAGCAGTTCTCATATAATTTTAATAGCTTTTGGTAAATCAAAAGTTCGACTTTATCTTTAAATGAATAGTGATTTTTAAACTAAGAAAGTAATGGAAATTTACGATGCAATTTTAGAAAAAGGTACTACTCAAATTATAAAACAAATATTACTGCTTATTAAATTAACCAAACCTTCATATATTAGCTACAATCATGAACATACATATTCAATAATGGTCAAATTATGTTAGATAATAAACAAATTTTTACATTTTAATATAGCCCCACTACTTTGAACATTGTACCCTACACTTGTACTTCGCCCTCAGCCTAGTCCTTTGTTCTGTACCGACGCACTTCTCAATGAATGTTACAGCTTTTTGATAAATTAAATATATAACTGCATCTACGGAAGAATATTGATTTTTAAACTGTTTACAATGCAGTGGAAAGATTTTTCTACAATTTAGAATTCAGGTATGGTTCAAATTGTAACACAAATGTTATTGTTTGTTAGTTAAATCTATTAATTTACGTACGTACAAGCACAAATATGCATATTTAGTAATTTTCTGTTGCCTTGAAAAAAAAGATATATTTTTTTAGTTCATTATAACTGCTTCGATACTTCGAACTTACAATTTGTCTTGCCACAGCTATGTATCAATGCAGGTCGCAAACTTTATTAATATAATAATAGTTTGTTAACACTTAATTCGTTAATGTTCTTAACTATCCTATTAATAATATAACGTTTTCAATCAGTATAAAACAATTTACTTAAATTTAAAAATTAGTAATGCGGCTTAAATTGATATGTTTATTTGTATAAACGCTTGCGCGTGAATTGCAAATATTTAACAATTTTAATTGAACTTTAAACAATAAGTAAGTTAAATTATGTTCTGTATAAATTATAAATTAAAATATTTGAATTCTGAGTTCCACTTGACTAGTTAACTTGGAACATTGCACAATGTCTCTGTTTATTTTTAACTTTTTACAGATATAGTTTTTAATAAGAAAAAACGAAGTTTTTTTTTTTTTTGTTATTTGTCTATGGAAGCAACACAATAATCTTTTATGCAATTCAGAAATGAGATGTTGATTTAGTTTGTGTCGATGTAGTTCGAAATTATCATTACTTCGTTGTTTATTACATTATTATTTACCATGAATAAAGTGCAATGTTTATCTTAGAATGTCTTTGTAAGTAATAAAAGGTACCAACTAAATATTAATAATCAAGTAAAATTTACTTGATTATTAAAATGTACATTATATAATGTAAAAAATGTACATTATATATATACATTTAGAAAATCATTATTAAAAATTAAATTATTTTTAAATCTCTTCTTTTTAACGTACCTTCAATGTTCATCACAACTTTGATTATTGTTTCCTTACTATTATTTATACCTTATTCTCTATTATCTATTCATTATTGCTTCCCATGTTTCCTCACTTTAACAATATTATTCTTTGTAGTATTGTAGTGTGTTATTATTATTTAATAGGTTTTAATTAATATTTTTTACTTTGCAGGATCAAAATCTACCACTGATCTACTTTCTTCAGGATCAAATCAAATGTCTCTGAAAAAGACACAACTATGTACGATTGGTGTTGGTTGAGCTGAGTTACATCGGATGAAGTAAGTGACTAATACAAATATATATTAATATTTTAAAATTCATATCTTAAGTAGCCTACATTGTTCAACCTTATTTTTTATTTATTTATTAATAATATTTTATTATAATTTAAAAATCACCAATGATTTTTACTTGGATAAATATATTTTACTTAATAGATAAATGTTGTTTTAGATGTTGCTTAGATAGGCCCATCTAAAACATATCTCATAAAATCATCTTTTCACAAAATGATTAATTTCAAATACAAAATTATTAAATAATTAATTGTTTTATTTATTTTTTCTGTTCCTAGGAATCAATGGGAGGCCAATTCATACGGCCAAATCTAAGAAGCTGGAAGCCTACAGGTACTCTTTACCACTGAGGGTGGAGTATTCTGTAGAAGAGCTGCGAAAGATTCTTCGACTCACTGGATGGCCGAAGATTTTTCTCAGTGGACTGAACGATTCGCTCTCTGGAGGACCTGGCAGGCCATCTACTGAAGTTCAGCTCATTCCCTCGTGAGTGTTGAGCCGTCCTCGATCTCACAGGGTGGTCGAAAGGTTCGAATCCAGCTCTTTGGTGTTCGGCTCATCTCGGAAAGAGTCCACAGTCATCAGCGTTCTTCAAGTCCTCAACTTCCTCTGGACTCTTCGCTCCGGCATTTTTCTCCTTTTCCCGGATCTTCCTGTCTCCTTCCCGAGTCTATCTCTCGAGGTTACTTTTACTCGACCAGATGTCGTGCTGTAGCAGGAGAATCGAAGGAAGAAGAGATCGAAGTACTCTGCGATCCGTCGTGTTTGGGAATTCCAATCGCATCATCGAAGCGATGTCGCTGCTACTGAGCAGTTCTCGTGTCACAGTTGTACACGAAGGAGAACATCGCTCAACTAGTGGGAGTTGAAACTAATAATTGTTCTGTGGTGGTTGTTATTATCTTATTTTAGGGATACATTATTTCCATAGCTGTTGGTTAGATATTCCCTTCTGGCTCTTTTGTGGCCATATATCCCTTAGCAACCGAAGGCTTTTATATTAGCCTCACAACAATCACCGCAACCACCACTACTTAAATTTCACTGGAGTTATATCTGCATCTGCTGGGATTTCAATATCATCTATTTACAATTGCAGATGTATCTTTTAAAAAGTAGCTGTAGAAAACTATATATACATAAAGAAATAGTTTATTTCTTTTCACCCCAAACATTTGAGAGCTCGTTGATGCTCTATTCCCAGCCCAGCATTGGCTTTTATTAGTCATGGTTCAAAGTCTCATTTTTCAGGCGCTAAAGGAAATCAAACCAAGCTAGATATAGTGAGAGATATTAAATTTGAGGGATAGTTTGGTTTGATGTTTTACTAGTACCTGAGGATGAGCTGTTTTCCAAATACACTAATAGCTTAAAAGCCAATGACCTAAGAACTATCTTGTAATTATTTATTTCAGATAGTTACCTATTCAGGAGGTTTAGTTTCAATTATGAGTAATGTAGATTCATACTTTTTTTATTATTTCTGCCTCTAGTTCCAAAATGGATATAAATAATGAAATAGGAAAAAAATATAATTTTTTTAAGCACTATCTGATCATAATTCTTTAAATCAAGGAAATTTTAAGATTCCGTATTTTAAACAAAAACGCTAACAAAAATTTGGTTTAATTTTTTTAGTTTATTTTTGACTTCTATTAATTGAGCGATGTTCTTCTACATGAACAACAATGACACGAAAATCGCTCAGTCGGTTACATCACTCCGATGATGCGATTCGAATTCCCTACCTGGCGAATCGTAGAATACTTCGATCTCATCTTCCTTCGAATCTTCTGTTACAACGCAATGTCTTTTCGAGTTTGAGTGGCTTCGAGGGAAAGGGTCGGTTTGGGGAGAAGAAAATCCGGGAAAAGGAGAAAGATACTGGGATGAAGCGTTCCGGTTGGAGGTTGAGGACTTGAAGGTCGTTGATGACTATGGACTCCTTCTCTGTATGGACCGAGTACCGAAGAGTCAGATTCGGGTCCTTTCAATCATCCCGCAAGAGCGAGGGCCGCTCTCTGCTCGCGAGGGATGAGATGGATTTTAGAAGATGGCTTGCTCGGTCCTCAAGAGGGAAGATCGTTTTATTGGCCAGGAAGAGTTTTTTGTCGTCCAGTGACTTTTTTGTCTTAGAATCTTCTCGAGTTACCTCCGCAGAATATCACCCTTTGTGGTCCAGAGATACATATCTTACGACTTAAGACTTTTGGTAGATCGAAAGAATGAAAAAGATATCAGAGAAGAAGAATGGATGAAATGTAAAATTAAGAAATTAATCTTCACACCGGATGCAGCTTGAATAAGGTATGTTGTTTACATTATACTGAATTGTATTCTATGATAGATTATGGTAACATTTTTAAATTATGTTTTAGTATGTTGCAATAATCAAATATTTTCATATATTTTCTTCTAATCAATATTAATAACTTACCTTCTACTTATGGACTTGTACAAACGTTCTTGGTCTCTTATTAACTTCATTGATGGAGCTATATTTTATTTTTTTTTGTCAAACCTTCATAAGAAGTGATAAATCCAAAAATTTCCAAAAGCAAAAAGTCAAGGTGTGAACGTTAGCTTTTACAGGAGGCAGTGATGGTCACTTGTATTAAAGTTTTGGCCGTTTTAATATTCTCGAATCTAGCGGATCGTTTTAACCCAGCCTGGGTGGGTTTAAATTAATTTCTTAGTGTACCCACGGAATGAATTTTGACTTTTCCTCTCTGGTTAGAATAGGTTTAGTGTTTCTTCTTGAACAAACTCCCACCTTTCCTTATACTATAAATTGTGAACGAAAAAAAATGGTTAGGACAGTTAAAAAAACAAAATAAAAAACTGTCATAAAACACTGAACAACAAATGAAAATAAGGTTTCTGGATTGGAAAACAATATATAGAAACAACAATCAATGTTATAAAAAAAAAAATTACGTTTGAATATTTTTTTTTCTCTATTATATCTTGTCTAATTTTTCTTTGTCTTTATATTTTTAACCAAACGTTAATATTTACATTGGTTTAAATGTAATGTGTAAGGTTGTTAAATATAATGTTATTCAATGTATAATGTTGACGAACCACAAAAGTAGCTGTAAGTCGGAAATGGCTGCTATAAGGAGATTTATATTCAAATAATAAAAATACGACTACAAATTGATAAATTACTTTATTTTCGAATTTTAGAGAATAAATCATTTCTCTTTTTTAAAACAATCAAACTTCTGTAAATCTATTTAGCACTTCGTATTAGCAACCCATATTATGTCGTGTAGAGACAAGCTGGGACTCTGGAACTATTGGTGGTGAGAATAAAAAGCAGTCAGCCAACCTTATATCAACTAATTCCGCTTTGCACCTTCTACATTCTCAATATAACTTCATATTAACAATAATAATGTCATATCAAAACAATAATGATCCTGGCTGTTGATAAGAAACAGGCACCACTCATATCAAAAATAGTTTTTAAGATATTGCTTTACAGGTTTTTTAGTAGTTCTAAATGCAATTTAAAAAAAAAATGTTTAATAATATTGGCCGAAGAGGAAGTGGTTCATCATCATTAGAATTAGCAATTATTTCAACATTAAGACATTTTTAAATATTCTATACATTCTTTATTTTCCATTAAATTTATGTTTTCCTACTTTAACATATCCTCTTCTGATATGAATAACAAAGTAATTCTTTTGTTTGTGTGTGTGTGTGTGTGGGTGTATGTAACTCAATTGGAATGGTGGTATGTTAAGCTGTTGGTAATTTTTCACTTAATATACTTGAATTGTTAAATATGAATTATTTACAAACAAAAAACACATTAATAGATTAAGTGGGAAATTGTTAACAATTTCAAGCTTATAAGCATTTCAATCGAAGTCTTCTGGAATACAAATTTTTTTTATCCCTTATTCTAGCCGAAAGCATAGTACACAAAAACAATTCTATAAAGCTTATTAAGAAGGAAATGAAAGATCATATTTTTTCAACCTTTCATGTTTCATTATTTTCCCCTCTCATTCCTCTTCTTTCTCTTCACCACATCTTTACACAAGAAAGAGAATTTCATGGAGTAGAGACGACCCTTAAATTCCTACTAGAGCTTTAATAATTTAGTAAAAGTCATTCTAAAAATAAGGTTTTAAGATTCAGAGTTTTTTAAGCCGAAAATGTACGAAAAATGACGAAGTTAATGTAAAATGACGAAGTTATTACGGGATACTATTTTTTTTTCGCAGTTCGAACGGGCTTTCGTCAGGTAGATGAACTATCACCCATGTTGCTCGACTTAGCCCTGGAGAAGGTAATAAGAGCAACATCACAGGAAAATGGAGGGGTCCATGTCGGAATGAATCATAAAATCCTTTGATACGCAGATGATGAAGCTGTCCTTGGAAGTAATGAAGAAGACATCGAGAAACTCGCTACAAGAGAGACAGTGCAGATCAGCCTACAAGTAAATGAATACAAAACAAAATATATGATAATAAGCCGAAATTTCCTCCCCAATAACAGGATTTGCATAGAAGGAAAATCATTCCCGAAAGTAGAAAAATTCAAACACTTAGGCTCCACAATAACATCAATGAATGACCTACTGGTAGAAATAGACCAGTGTATAACTAGCGCAAACAGAGCTTTCTTCTCTCTCTCTCAGGTGTTGAAATCCTTAAAAATCTCAAACTAAGGGTGTACAATGCTATGATAAAGCCAGTTCTAATATATGACTGTGAGACCTGGACACTAACCAGCACCCTAGAAAAAAGTGTGCAAAGATTTGAGAGGAAAATCCTCCGCACGATAACCGGAGTGATATGGGATCAGAGTGCTAACACATGGACAAGAAAGACCAATATAGAACTGCTTACAGAAAGTGGTCAATCAATATCCCATTACATGAAGGCTCGGCGGTTAAGATGGGCGGGGCGTGTAGATCGAAGCAATCCATCTGGAAGCCTCTACGCAACAATGAATGCCTCAATAGAAGGCAAAAGACTACGTGGAAGGCCAAAAAGCAGATGGATAGATAGAATCAACAAGATGGAACAGAGCTGCCTGCAGATAAATGGAAAGAAATAGCCCAAGACAAGCAGAGATGGGGTAGGCTTGTTAAGGTGACAAAAGATCAACATGGTCTGTAATACCAAAAGAAAAACAATTTTTTTTCATAAATGTTTTTAAAAATTAAAATGCAGACCAATTTAAATACGCAATTTCGTATATTCGGCTAGAATTAGGAGGAGTATCTCAAGGCTGTTATATCACACCATTGATATACATTGTAAACACTTATGCACATACACGTCATACCATTTCCAACAATTTTATTATAAAATACACAATATACACATATATATATATATATACCTTTCAGCTTTTTCTTGTTCTACCGAAAGGCACTTCCTACCTTAACATGCCTACAAGAAAAATGCAGAAACAAATATATATATTGTAATTTTATAATAAAATCATTGGAGAATGAGGATAATTTCTAAATCATTATTAGAATAACGGCTTTAGTGATAAAAAATAAATTATAGCTGTTTTATGTTTTTTGTGGATTGCTTAAAATGATTTAGCGCAATATAAAATTAGTAGAATAGAACTTTTCCAAAGTATATATTTTGGTATTGTTATATATAGTAACAATATACTATGATATTATATAATAAAATAATATCATAAATGATGTATAATAGTATTTCATAGTGTAACAATACAGTTTGATAAAATATAATAACAAAAATAATATACTTATATTTAAAAGTATTTTTCATTACAGGTTCAAGAAATATATAAACAAAACTGCTGTGATCTTCAGGTAGTATTGTCTTCGCAGGTCATCCGATTCCACGCAGTCTCCAAGATCATCGGCGTCATATCGGCAGCGAGGTAGGAATTAGTTATAAGTATACATTTTATTACATGGTTACATGTAATATTAGTGGTTCCTAACAAATGAATCAGACATATAGAGGGAAACAGCATAACTAAGGTTGAATATGGTAAACCCTCCCATATGTGGTATTTGAGATAGTTCACGCTAAAATATTAATCACTAAATATTTATTGTCATATATTAAAGTCAATTATAAAGGTCCGGGATAAAATATTATTTACACTTTTTGTTATAATAATTGTTTATCCTAATTAGCCTTCCCTTGTCCACATCATCTTCGAGTTTTAATATTCAAACATTTCGGAAGCGGGGTCCCCGAGTGGGTTAACGCGTGCTGCCAGGTAACCATATAAACCGAATTTTATGTGATAATAAGTTAGCGTCTCGGGGTCGGGAAGGGCTTTTAACCCTCCATTAATTTCCCGCCCTCTCCCCTGTTCCAGGAAAACCCTGTACATTCTAAAATGTGAGAAATGGGTGAAGAAAAACAAAGAAAATTCAAACGTTTCCCCACTCATAAGTCGCTAGTTATCTTTCGGTCTCTTTTTCTACCAATTTACGATGCGGGGGCGGGGGAACCGTGCGGATTAACGCGTGTGCACAGCACCACGTTGCTCAGCAATATGATATAAGATAATTTGATAAAAATAATTTCTAGTTCGCGTCTCGCTGCCGGGGGCGGGAGAGAGCTTTTAACCCTGATATTTAATACACCGCTTCATCACCGGTCCGGGAAAACCCCGTATAGCCTAAAAGGCGAGGAAGGAGAGGACCGAAAAAAATACTTACTATGTGGCTCATTAAATCAATTAGAAAATAAATAATATTTATTGTAACAATATAATATAATATGATATAATATAGTATAATACAATATAATAAATAACAAAAGTATACCGAGTTATTGTCATATTTAAATTGTTTTTCATTACAGGTTTAAGAAACATGTGCACGAAATTGCTGCCGTCTTCCGGAAGTATTGTCTTCGCAGGTCATCCGATTCCGCGCAGTCTCCGAAGTCATCGGCGTCATAGCGGCAGCGAGGTAGGAATTAGTTAACTAAACATTATATTACTTGGTTATATTTAATATTGGGGGTTCCTGACAAATGTATTACAAATCTGAGTTATTGTTATATTTAAATTGTTTTTCTTTACAGGTTCAAGAAACATCCGCACGAAACTGCTGCAGTCTTCCTGAAGCTCGTAGGCCGCCATCAGATTCCACGCAGTCTCCGAGACTGATCGCATCATTGCGGCAGCGGGGTGAGAATTAGTTGTAATATAATATATATTATAATAC